TACAAAGCTTTTATTCCAGATGCGATACTACATCTATATATTATAGTTGCTATCAAAAAGGGGCTTGCAAAACGGTTTAAGCAGCGCGGGGTGAGAGGGGGGGTTATATTTCCGCTTAATAAATTTCGTTATTGCCGAAGCACAATCGCGAGAATCGTGGAATTGTGATTTGATCGCGCGGAACGGATCGCGGCAGAATTAATTCGTATCGTTTTTCGGACCTCATTTTCGCCGGGGCTTTGTGCCCAGCTCCCACGTAATAATTCCGCGGTGTCGAGAAAAATCGGTACGGCGGACAATGCCGGAATTATCGGCGGAAATCGCTCGATCGTTCCGCTCGTTTAAAACGCTCAGCGTGAAATGTAATCCAAGTAACAACGGGAAAAAAAGAACGTACTCGTATTAATAGATCGCAATGATATTTCGCGTTAATTAGGAAGAAAGAAAAAAAAACGAATAAAAAAACAAGATTTAATTGTATGTGAAATTAAAATTTGTAAACTAATTTACACTTAATTGGGCAAATTGTATTGTTGTCTTGTTGGATTCTAAATGAAATGTGAAAAAAGTCAGCGCATAAAGTAATTTTGCAAAAATACAATACACAAATCGTATTATATTTCGCGGAGTTTTCTTAACATCCACATTTAATTTATTAATAATATAATTCGTGTAAATTACTATTTAAATAATTGTATAACAGTTAATTTATTACTTTCTAAATAATTACATAACGGTAATGAAAGCGTAACCTTTTCTGGCAAGTATTTAAGCGTATTAATTATTGTTATTGGCTATTAGTCGTTAATTAACTATCTAATAATTTAACGATTTCAATCAATGCGCACGAATTGTTCATCGAATTGTGATTATATGCGAAACGGGGGAAGGAAGTATCATCATCGACGTCGAAATAATATCCTAAAATAAGGGAGAAGAAGGTAGGGGAGGTAGAATATAATTCGCGATGAAAAATTTAAAATACCCGGGACGGCGAGCGAGAATCTTAATGCATAGAAATGTGATTGCCAAGCGACCGTGAATTTTCCGTTCGACTTAGAATCGACTTCTTGGGTCGGACGCGACCGGGAACGCTTTCTGGGTCGCGCGTGAAATATTTTAATGGGCCGTCGTGTATAGGGAAAGGGAGACACACTTTCCCGCGGCGATACACGCTCTTAGTCGCGTTGTCCGGCTCGAGTTCAAGTTAAGTGGTAAGTTTTGAAATACGACCGACCGCGCCACAGTTCGCGCACAGCAATTCTGCGCGCGGGGAATACATTGGCGCAATGCACGCGCGCGCGTGCATGTGTGCGGCCGCACTGCTCGATGAATTCGAATGGCCAATTGAAAAGCTAAAAAAGTATAAATCCAAAACATATTTCGAGATAATTGGCAAGGCCATTGTTGAAGCATTTGGTGGAATTTCGGCACGAGATCAAAAAAGTTATTGTTTTCGTTTTATGTGTTTGTATCGCGGTAAATTATTTATCTATTTCGGTCATTAATTATAAAAACATTTTCATATAACAGTTAATTAAGAAAGTCCGGATCCGTTTTGTGATTCTACAGTCGTTTAAATATCGAAATAAACGTATTTCTTGTAATTACGAAGAAACTATACATAATTTATAAGCTTTATTTTGTATCTTTCAAACAAATAAATATTGGTTAATTTATTTAACAATTTTTATTTCGCATATTAATTATTCAAGATACATAGAAACGTGCAAAATTTAAAATGATCGATCTGCCACAAAGTTAAAAAAGAAATAATCTTTTTCCGCACGTCAAAAAGGAAAAAGTTTCTTAACCCTTTGAGATTCAGTGACCCCGTTAGAGGTCACGCCCTTTTATTTTGCAAATCACTTGAATTCGTAAAATTTGGCCTACGGAATAATTTGATAATACTTTATCGACACCTGAGGTAAAAAATACAAAATTAAGAATGGTGGATCTAATAAATGGCAAATCGAATTTTTAAAAAGTAATCTGATTGTGAAACTGGATTTTAGGGGATTCTTGGGATTACTGAATTCGACTCTGGCCTCAGAGTTTAAAAATTCAAAATTAAAGATTACAACATGACGGATCAAATTTTTTAAAATAATCTGATTAAACATAAAACTCCGTCCATAAAACTTCGTGTTAGAAAATTTTTATTGCAAAATACATCAAGTTTCCAATTTCGCTTTAGGTATTTGAAGTTCATTAGTGCTACGCAAACAGTTAGTAATTAACTATTATAGTAACAGATTGGAACACAACACATTACAAACTACTAACAATATACTAACAATATACTAACACTATACTAACAATAAGTTAGTTATTAAGTTATATATTAAGAAATAACATTGAATGGTTTAATTCTGAGACCAGAATCGGATTCAGTGTTCCCAAGAGCTCTTAGAAAATAAGATTTTTTATAAGCTACTTTTTTAGAAAGTGCTGAACCTCAAAGTGTTAAGGGGAAAGTGTACTTAAAATATCAATTTATTTTTAAATTTTTTAAGCTTTTTGCAAATTTTGAGTTATATAAAATTATTGTACACGTCTCTTTTGCGATTTTATTGTCGTATACGTCTCTTTTGTGATAATGTACTTCCATTCAAATCGAAAAGAGTATATTCGGTAAATTAATGACATAAGTTTGCAGAAGAAAATTTTTTCCTTATGTTAGAATAAAATTACCCTAAATCTATTTCATTTTTGCTTATTATGCTATTATTATCATAGTTATCATGAAAGTATTTCACTTTTCATGAGCATACATACAAGAATTTATGGCAGATATTCATAGTCAAATCTTATATTTAAGCCCGTCCTAAGTACAGTCTTAACTCTTAAGATATCATAAATCAATCGTCATCCTCGTATCAGCATCTTAAGACATTACTTAAAACAATCTTGAAATAAAAAAACAAAATGTTATTACAAACGGCCTATAAGATCGGTCGTTACGAAGTTTCCTTATTAATGCTCATACATACATTCTTAAAAACTTTATAACTTATTATTCTTAAAATCCTGACATAAATTAATACATAAATTTTGAGATCAGATTTGTGTTTGAGGTATCTAAAAGTTTAACAACAATCTAATAATAATCTTTAATAATAATAATATAAATCACGAAGTATCTAATTCCGTTCCACGGTCAGAACATTTTTTTTTGTAAACTGGTGTAATAATCATTTTTATTTATTTAGGCGATATCATCAGTTAACTTCGAATGTTTGTAACTATTTTAATATTTTAATATTTTTTTCTAAACAATGGCGGATTTATTTAAACATCAGTGAATCGGAATATAAATAAGAAAAATCTATAGAGAAAGTTTTAAAAGCAAGAACTTTGAAGTCTGAAGAACAACGAAGAAACGGCACAGTACAAAGACAAAAGAAGTATCCTTAGTTACAGAAGCCCGACAGTGATATGAATAAAAGAGAAAATGACACCTCTGATCGACTCCCGCAAGTATGAACAATGCACTGATAATATGCTTAGAATATCTAAAAAAAAATTTAATTGCAGACTGAATAGTCGGTAAGCGAATAATCAAAAAATAACAGGAAAAATTTCTTTTTATTTGACTTGTCGTTGCGTGCCCTCTACTTGCAGTCTTAATTTGAAATAAACGAAGGAAAAGAGGATAAATTATTGCAAAGAATATATGTGATGTTATGACGTTGTACGTTATTAAAACCTTCAAAGCGCTCTCCTATAAAATCCATTTTTTCTATCTTTACCTACGCTTTCTCTTGGCAAGTATTAAACCAATTTTTATAATTTTTTTTTTAATTTCTTTGATGGTCAGACTCTATCATTTAATCGTGCGTTCGCTTTTAAAATTATAACTTTATCAAAAGCGACGAGCAAGCAAAGCTGCAAAAAAAACTAACTTTCAAATTATAATTAAAATTCGACAAGAGTTTATTTATAGAAAAAAATTATCAGTCAAAATGTAATCAATTATACGAGAATAAAGATTATATGGAATAAAGAAAAGATATATAAACCAGTGACAAAAAAAAACTATAGATAGGTTCGATTTTAGTTCGCAACTCCCTCTTAAACTTTCGCGGAAACTTAACTGCATGTTATATATATATAAATTATTACATCACTGTTTTCACATAGCAACTATAAAACAACAATCCAATATAAATATGTTAAATTTAGAAATATATGTGACTACCTTCTTTCACGAGCAACTTCATGTAGCGTAATATTTGCAAAATAATCGCGAGCGGTGAAACACCTGAATAATTCGAAGGTGAAATTTCGTCTTAACGGCGGGAAGGGGGGCGCAAAGTTGGCGCGCGCGAGCGGAAATAAGCCCTTCTGGCGTAAACTAAAACCGAAGTTACGTAATGGGGCGACGGGCGTGCGGGTCGCTCCACTTTTATGACTGGAATATTACTCTACTTTGGCTAATCTAAACTTTAGGGTTAATGTAACGTAATTCAGCGAGGGCGGTTTACACCCGGCTGGCTAATTACGTACGTCGCGCGATTCGGCCTGCGATCCTAATAAATTCATCCTGCGGACTTATGCACGTTATTACTTGTCTGTGTATACATACGTATGTGTATGATTACCATTATGTTTATTATATATATATATATATATATATATATCTGTTTATCGAAAACCAGCAAGCTTGACGTGACGAAGAGAAAATTGCGCAAAGAGAACAGGCGATCGAATTAATGGAATTAACATTTTGGGTACTGAATAGATTGCGCGTTAAATTAATCGTACCGGCAATTAATTAGATAAGTTGTCTATCTATTTACGTTAAGTAATGTTTAACAAATCTGAGAAATGCGTTTAGCACATAACAATTAATTGAACAAATAAATTTCGCAAATCGTTGTAATAAATAATTCGTCAGATAATAGGGATTTATAATATTTCGTAAAAGCAGGAAATTGTTGAAGCAGATTTCACCACACAATTAAGACTGAAAAGTTGGAAATGGGACAATAACTTACCTCGACGATGTAATGAAGACCCGACAGCGTCATCCTCGCTACAGAATCTTTCCGCCGTACTGGTTGCTGCCATCGTCTGAGAATGACACCCTATGAATATTCAGAAATGTGTTTTTCTTAATCACAATTTTCTGAAATCTTTAATTTTCTTGCTAAATCATTAAAGCGAATTTACAAAAAAAATTATTTAATATGACATCATTTCTTTCTAATCTGATATAATTTATTAAGGGGTTACAGAAATGTAGCAAATAGAAAAATTGAAAGCTTTTTAACGTCACGAAATTTTCATTTAAAGAGATGGACAAATAATGTTTGTTGATGGAAAAATCTATTTTTAATAATAAAATCAAAAGAAATACAAAATTATAACAAAAATACTAAAATAATAAACAAAATAATGGCGTTTTAAATAATCGTTGCAATCTCTGCGTACTTGCATGGTGACCAAAATTTCAACTTCCGTAAATTATCTGCGATAAACAAGTAGTTTTTGTTTTTTACTTTATTTGTTATTTTCGGTTCACAGACAAAATTTTTAAAAATTTAATTTTTTATAAAACATCTAATCATGGAAATTGCATTTTCTTAAAAAATTGCAATTTTTTTGTTACTACATATTTAAGAAAAAAATTAAAAATTGGAAGAAGTCTTCGTGAATCAATAAGAAATATTATTAAAAGTAAATCACTTTAAATTGTTTGGATAAACAATTGATATTTTCATAAGCATTATTTTTAAAAATAATGTCTTGAGAAAAGCATTTAAAGTTAAGACATAAATTTTGTAATTTTTAATAATTTATTTATAATTTATTAATCTATATTAATTTTATTTTATAACTTTAAACTAGTGGAAACTAAAAAATTTTTGATTTTTTGAAATTTCTATCCTATAATCCCTTAATCTATATACAATACTCTAAAGGAACAAATTATTTAATTAAAAATTGTTAATTAATTATTGAAAAAATTATATTTTGTAATTATGTTTAAATACACATGATATTTTTAAAAAATAATTCAAAAATTGTATACAAATTGTCTGTTATTAAGCTATTAGCAAAACAATATATTACAACTATTTAAAATTAATTTGATTCTCCTTGATGCACACAAAAATTTCAAACATACGAATTTTTTTATACATGTCCATTTTAAAGTTCAATAGATGAAATAAGCTCTCAAATCGAACTTTTATATTTAATTCTAAACAATTACATTAGTTTACAGCAAAAAATTGCTTTGAATCTGACTAAATGTTTCTTATAAATTTTTAAATAATGGAAACGATGCAAACTAAAAAATTCAATCATCAGTTTTCCAAGATAATCAAGATTTAATGTCCAAAAAATGATTTTTTAGATTTTTTTGTAAGAAAGTATAATAAATAAAATAAAATGCATTTTATAGAATATGAATAATATATTCATGATTTCGGATTGGAATTTCAAGCTGACGTTAATCTTCTTTACAAAAAAAGTCAAATATCGCTGAAATAATCATTTTTTGGACATTAAACTTCAATTATCTTAGATATCTAACGTGTTAGAGAAATTTGGCTTGCGACATCGTTTTCAGCATTCCTAAACCATTCCAAAAACCTATAAAAAACACGTAGAATTTAAAAAATAAATAGAATTTAAAATTTAAAGTAAAAAATTTTTTGTAAATTAATGTTATTATTGTAAGATTATAGGATTAGCCAAAAAACTAGACACTAAATATGATTTGCATTTTCTTAAAAAATTACGTTCTTTTTTGTTACAACTTAAGAAAAAAATTAAAAGTAGGGAAAAGTTACCGTGAACCGAAGAAAACGGTAAAATAGTAAAATAAAAATTTAAAATCAATTAATGTAATCAATTAATTTTAGTTACATTAAAATATAGAACGCGTAATATGCTATTTACAATTTACTTTATCAAGCGACGCGGTAACGGCGCAACGCCAAGTATATAAAATAACCATTACATCTTGAAAAAAACATTCTTCAAACCAAAATGACCACTGAATACATAAATCTTTGTAATCTCTCTTTGAAGTCTCTCACTTCTTGCAACATTTCAATTGTGATGTTTGCAATTTCTGTACAAATATTTGTTTTGTTTATCAATACTTCGAGGTCATTTTTAAGTAATGTCACGACACCAACAGTAAAAAGATATAATAATTTGTAAATGGCATATTATGTTTTATATTTTAATGCGATTAAAATTAATTAAATATAGTTTACAAGTTTGTATTTTATCTCATTAAATTTTTCCTCTTCTTTGACACATCTTGTATAAGAAAATATTTTAAATACTCTAAAAAATATTTTAGATAAAAACTTTTATGATTTATTATGTTTTATAACTGTGAATTTAGATTCTTCGAAAATCGAATAGTTTTAAAATACTTTTATTGATTGATTGTAAAATAACTTTATAATAAACTCATATATATGTATTAAAGTAAATTTGGTGTCACAAATCAATGAGAGAGTGAAGTATTTTGAAAAAATATTAAATTTTTAGAAAATTAAAACATACACTTATAGAGTAAGACGCCAAAAAAAGTCTAATTAATTTTTTAGACATCTTATCATTTCGATAATAATTGCTTAGAATCAAATACAATATAGGCGTTAGATTAGAAATATTGTCTTACAAAATAGGCACGTACAAGAAAATACGTACCTCTTAAATTTGTATGTTTAATAATGCATTTCAAGAAGAATCAAATCGGACAGTTTCGGACAGTTGTGACATAATCCTTCGTAAGGCATGCATAATTATTTCTAATCATAATATCAATGGATTCTTAACTCGTTCATCAAACTGATTTACTTAAAAGATTTCAAATTCGTCCTGTCGACATGATTTATCATGCCAATGCAGTGAAACTCTCAATTATCATAGATTACGATCGCTCATACGCTTGTAATCGCGCTAGAACATATATATTCTCGTGGTACAATGCACTCACTTCCGGTGTCTCGGTCGTGTCCGGTACGTCCCGGGTGATGTCCGGATCCGGCGGCCTGTGTTCCGGTACCAGTGCGCCGTACTTCCTCGACGCCATGCGTCGCCGTCGGTCCAGCCATCTCTGCTTCTCCGAGGCCTCCGATTCCTCGTCGACCCCGAAGAACTGCGCTGTCTCGCGTTTAATATAACTGCAAAATTCGAAAAGATATCATATCCCGATCAGACTCACGTACAGTCATGGACACGTCGATTGCGACACTTTCTATTTTATAGGTTTCAAAACGCAATAATATTTTGCAAAAGCGGACCACGATTGGTGTTATATTGTCTCTAGACTAAAGATAGTACATCGTGGTTCGCATTTGCAAAATATTAATTATCTATATAAAGTATATATTATGTATATTAAATATATATTAGAAACCTATAAAAAAGTGTCGCAACCGTGTGTCCACGACTGTACATATATGTTACCTCAAATATGTGTTTAGAAAAGAAGAAATCGTCCAAGAAATGTATTCTTTCACAATTCACATTGTTTTGCCGTAAAACATTATTTTAAGTTAAAATATTATTGTTGTAAAATTGAATGTCATTCCTATTCGAATGACCGAGCTCGAAAACCACTCTCGAAAACAAGAAGTGTCATTCATATATGAATAACGCTGTGACATGGCAGTTACGGTTAAAGCAACCGATTTTTCTATTTATTTATTGATTTATAGAAACAAATTAACAATATGTTACTCGTAGAATAAATCAGATTCAAAATAATTTGGAATAAATAATCTTTACGTGACAATCCACAATATATTTTTACTTCTATTGTTTGAAATAAAATAATGCAGGCAGCACAGATCGATATATAATGTTTCTATTTTAAAAGACCTTTTACCAGGATTGTCAAATAAATTGTTTTCTTTCAATTTGAACAAATATTTGTAGCTTTAAAATACAAGTTGCTTTAAAAATAATAAATGTATAGAAAAATGATATAAAAGTAAGTTTTCAGAAAGACAGCGATTAATTCTCACATTTTACATCTCTAATCTACATACATATGTTACTGGAAATACAAAGATCCTAAATTAAGACCTTTATTGTTTCGTATATTAATAAATACCGTCAGTAAACAATAAACTAATTTTTTTTCATAATAAAACTTCAAAAATATTATTCGATATTTTAAATTTCACAATTTTACTTTATACTATGTAAATTGCTCTTACAGTAGCAATTTTTATCCGTGTTATATTTTGACATACAAACAGTACTTTTTACAAAGTAATTAACTTTAAAAATCGATTAAAAAGGAGAGATAGACGAATTAAAAAATTTTGAAAAATAGGACATTGTCGACATTGCGCCGTCGACGCTCGCACTCACTTCCGGATGGCCTCGGTGCGGCTCTGATTTCTCCTTAGCCTTGGCCGTTGCGCTGCCGAGGCGCTCGCCGAGGAGCTGCTGACCTGGACGACCGGTCGCGGCGCGCTCGGCGCGGAAACGCTCCTGGCGATGCCGGCACTTCCGGCGGCGGCGCCGGAGGTGGCCAGCGGCACGGTCGCCGACGCCGTCGTCACCGGCGTCGCCGTCGTCGCGGCTGACGATGTCGCGGCGCCCACCGGGTACATTCCGATGCTCTGAGCCGCGTCCCCATCCCCGGTCGTCGACGATACCGTCGAGGTGCCGGTCGTACCGGAACTCGGCGATGGTTGCCTAAAAACGAAGAGGAATGTTATTTCCCTGGCGGGATTTATGGAAGAAGTTGGTGTTGCTAAAAAAAAGAAGAGATTTATATCCCGCCATTTTTATTGGATAGAGGTAAATATTGAATAGAAGATTTTTTGAGAAAGAAAGGTTATTCGATATCCGTACAGGAGACAATGGGCGTTTATTGTTTCGCCATCAAGGGAATCTGTTCAGTCCGATCGATTGTTGAATCCGTTTGATTTTGAAATCGGAGTGAGAATGCAATAGGAAACAAACGTATGTTTAATCTTTAAACGTCGCAAGTCAATTGATGATCAGATTTTCCAACGGATGTCTGAGTAACTTCGAATAACACAAATGCACGGTAAAAAACATTTTGTATGTTTTAAAAACCGGTTAAATTGTGTTATTTGAATATTTTGTGTTAAATTAACATTCAACATTTTTTAATGTTAAAATGACACAATTTATAAGTAACAAATAATAATAAATAAAATTAATGTAGTTTTAAAACAAATTCTAAAATAAATAAATAAAATGCACGTGTTATAATTTAACATATTATAAATGTTAATTTCGAATATGCTTCTAAATCATGTCAAAGTGATACAATTTTTGTTAATTATTTATATAATATTTGTATTTCATCTATATGCTGAAAAAACTTCGTGACATCGCTGTTTTACATACGATGGTTTGTGCATGCGTGCGATATTGATGTAATGGTGCACGGAAAATATGTGTGTGGATGTTACAACAATATTCTCTATGTTTGGAAAAGAAATGCATGTGAATTTAAGTTATATTGATGTTACATGGTATACATCTGATCAGTATGGTTATCACAACCGTAGTGCTTAGGATAAATAACATTCGGTTAGAATATCTTTATATATGCAATGTGACTCAATCGAAGCATTATTTGTTATCTCTCTAATGTGGTCTGCACAATAAATAATATGATTGAGAGATATATATGAAATAGTTGCACATCACAACATTGAGGCTGAGAATTCAGGAATAAAGTTAATATAAGTCACTTCCAAAGTATTTTAATTCCTATAACCCTTTTGAATTGATAACCGAAAATTATCACAATTATTATGTTGTGGCAACAGTAATTTTTTTCTGTGTGTGTGTGTATATAGTAATATGTTGATGTATAATACTATACATTAATGTTGCACACTCTGCGTACTCAAATCGTACTTCTCTATTTACTTCTTTTGTAAGCTTTAAAATTATAAACTCAAGGTCTTAAAATATTCTTATGTGTTGTATAAATGTGAATAGATACTTATATTCTGATTACATACATACTCTGAATAATTTATACCAATCATCATTTATGAAGAACGTAAAGACAGGAAATATAATTGCAAAACTTTTTTTGATTTTTCATGTGCTCTGTACATTTGGTATATATCTATCCACATTTCTTTGTGTATTTTCTTGTGGAAAAGAAATTTTCATTCTATACAAGGGTAGCGAAAAAAAAACGAGAATTCAGACGATTGTTAGACGTATTACAAACGACTTCAGCATCCTCTTAAGGGGATCCTAGCAGAAGACCGAACTTGCACAATAATACAAACTTTTTAATTTCAAAATAAAAATATCGATAGTGATATCTTTAATTCAATTTCTTACATTATCGTTCTGTCTCATTCAAATACATCTGTTCTTATCTATCAAGCGTCATGTACCTATTGCAAGATCTGAAATCTATTGCTATAAATATTTATTGCTCTGCTTACCATTCTGCATCTACAAACGCGAGTACACATGCATAAAATCAATTCAAGTGAAATTATTGTTTATTAGGCTTTTAATCTCAACTTCATGATTCAGTTCTCTTGATTTGGTCAAAACCAACCTTGCAATTCATACAAATAAGCTATATAACTTTTATGTATTAAGCGAACATTATCATGAGCTCTATGTGCAAAAAAAGTGTAACATCAAGTAGTATTTATTTAATTATTTTTTCGATTTTAAGCTTAAGTTATGTCAAGCATAGTTTATTCGTGTATATATTTCAAACGTGTAAAAAGATTTCGTGAAGCCAATTCGGAGAAATTCTGAAACTGTAATATCAGTAATTCTTTGTCACGCTATTGCATCCCCTTAAATTAACAAAGATTTGGATAGACTATTTGGGACACATGAAATGTGTTAAACACACATTTTCTTTTAACTGTATATGATTTCACCACTCGCACTTTCACTCTTTCGCTTGCTGCCTCGATATTAACGTCTCTCGCGAAAATTGCAACCGTACAAGAATTTCCAGGCCGACGACAATAAGCCGGTGTCATACTACGTATTGCGGATCGGATTGAGATTGCGAATCACGGATCGGAATTCAGCCAATGACGACGAGGCAGCTCTGGATACACCTCGCCATGATTGGCTGAATTCCGATCCGCGATCCGCAATTCCAATCCGATCCGCGTCTGTTATACATAGTGTGACACGGGCTTAAATAGACCGGGTCCGGTTTCACGAGTACTCTCTAGCGCCTTTGGTACCGAGACACGATCGTGTCTTTTGATAACTTACAGATAATGTAGGCTATCTCTTAGTTTATATTCTTTTTTTTTTCTTCGTAATTTAATCATGAAGTTTGCTCGAGTAATATCTCTTTTAGAAGGAAAAAATAAAAAAATTTATTTTAACATAACAGTGAAAGAGAGAAAAGACCCTGCGGCACATTCAGACCAAGAACTATCGTGCTTCTATGCTATAATTTAAAGTTAAAAAGTTTATATGAGAAAAATTAAGAATAAAAAAAAACACCTAAAATTATAATTACTTAAGATTCAGCAACTTTTGACGCAATTATCAATACAATATTAAAAAATGTGAATGTTTTTGTATATACTTTCCGAGGGGTAAACCGCTAACCAAAATTATGTACACCAATGCCTAGTAATGCCCGAGGTAATTTCTAATTTCTGACCGACCATAATGCCCCACGGATAACATCGTGAGAACAATCTTATTATTTAGCGTAATTTATTTAATATTCACACTTTATTACGTGTTGTAAATATGTGTGACATAAAACAATTGTCAATTGTTTAAAAATAAAACGTAATAGTGCCCAGTAATGCCTAGCAATGCCTCGAATCTGTACAGCGCAATGCTCTTAGCGGTTTATCCCTCGATACTTTCTACATTTTAGACACATATATCAGATATTCCAAAACTTATACTTTAATTTTATTTTCATTAAGATTTCAAAACCATATATCTCGATATTTTAATTTGTATTTATAAAAGTATAAAATATAGATATTGCAGATCAAACGTACATGATTTGAATCCCTGTATTATAAATCACTTTACTGTAAAGTAATAATAGTGGCATGTAAATAATATTTATAATAATATCAGTTTTACAATCACATTATTTATAATATTTTAGTTTCTAAATATAGCGAGGCATTCAATGTAATATTCGTGATTTTCCCGTTGATTTTAGCTGACGTACACAGAATTTCCATTCTTGCGCGCTTGTATGTTTATTAATTTTTTTCACATTCGTGGTTTTCATTGTCGAGCGGCGACACATTTTCATATCCTCTTCATTGGAATGGGGAGAATTTTCATACCTGCGAATTTCAATTTTGACATAAAATTCGACCTTGCGCTCTCGAGAATCGCAGCAAGCTCTCTCGAGAAATGTGCTATTTGAATAACTGGAATAGTTACTTTTATACTAATATTTTTCTGCATATCAAATCTGAAACTTCCTTCAAAGTTAGCTTTACGTTCTTAATTAAATAAAAATTAAATGTAATAGACAAAAAACGTAATTTTCATATTTGTAGGAATTTATTTACATAAAACTCGCGTACCATTATATAAAGATTTACAAACTATTGAAAGCACTGACTTTATTTTTAATTGAGTTCTAGAGTTTCTTAATAATTTAAATTAATTCCGACCAAAGAAAAGAACACTCTGAAAAAGTACAGCTCTCTTGCGGTAAAAATAATTCTTTTTTTAATTCTACTTGCTTCACATTTGAGAGAGTGATCTTTGCTTATTTTTCAAAAAATTCAGTTTTAACATGCAAAAGGTATCCGAAGCCATTCTATTTATTATTAATAATAGGTAGATAAACTTAAGTTAGTATTCCAGCTTCAGTTTATGATTGCGTTGCAATTTTGTAAGTCCGACAGTATTCGGCGCGCAGTTTACATAACTGAAAATGTATTTAAATTTAACAGAAATGTTATTAGACCGAGATTCAGTCTTGGCGCTTTTGTATTCAGTATAGTAATTGTGTTAATCACGTTAGTATTATTTATGAAGATTCATTTGTTAAGATTCACTACTGATTTTCGGACACATAGTAGAATCTTGTAAGTTGTTCTGTAAATTCTCCCGTGTTTGTCAAGTTATATATATGTATATTTATTTATCGTACAAAATATGACAAACTGAATGATGTCCGTTATCCGTATACCTCCGCTTCGTTAAAGGCGCGACCTAACGGTTTATTTTCAACATTGTTTACAGCTTCACTATTTCTACGGAAGAATGCTTAATTTATTCGCCGGCGCTTATTAATTGCATTACGAGCAATAAATCACACGCGTTTATACCGTAAGTAATAATAAATTAGCGGATTTCTATTTACGGTCTAAGCGAAGAAATATCACGGAAATATATACGCACGCGTTATATATAAGACGCGCGGTTTGAACCGAGGATGATTTATACTTGCGCAAATAAAAAAGGAAAACTGCGCGCCGGGAATTTCCGCGACGCCACATTTTTCTCGCAGCGGCAGCTGCATCTTTCGCAACCCCGCATTCATTTAGGCGAAGTGCAGCGCTCCCCGGGGAAAGATGCGAGGGAAGAGGGCGGAGGAGTGAGTCAATATCGCGCGCATCAGGGCTAATTAATGGCGAGCTCGTCCCTTCTTAGACGCGCTGTCACCCCTTTCGCAGCGGATGCCGCCACGTTAGTAATTCCTCCCTCCCAGGAAATTC